TCTTTTGGTACTGTAACGTACGTAATTTTATCGTAAATTGTTACTATATTACAATTATATCCTCGAGATGAACATTTTTTTTTTTTTCCATAAGAGTAGATTATACATTAGTGTTGGTATGCAGTCAAAACGACTGTCTCCATTGTAATACGTGCCATTAATAAGTTTCAAAATTCAGTGGGTACATCGACTCCACTGGTTACACATACGTATAGGTACACTCAAAACGCTGCTCTGCTCACTCGCATTTATATATATATATATATAACTTGTGTACAGCAAAGAGAGGAGGAGAGGATGGAAAATGGCAGGGCCATTCGTATGCATATGTGTGGTATACGACTATACGTATGGTATAAAGAGCGCATTGCCGCAATCGAGTTTAAAGTACCCTCTCGGGACGCGCCGTTTATATATATATATATCCTCCCCCGGATTGCGCTGCTCGCTGCCGATAAAGATTTTAAAATCATCAATGTTTGCCCGCCGCCGTTAACAGATCGACCCGATTTTTCATTTTTGTCACTCCCGATCGGTGTAGGGGTACATTTTGAAATGCACTTTATTTATATGCGCCCGACGTTTTTCCTAAAAAAAGAAAAAAAAAGAAAAAAAAGCTTGGCACCCAGGCTCGAGTCCGCAAAAAATATGCGGTCCGTGCGGCTCTTCTCTTTTTCTTCCCCCAAGACTATTTCGCCGCAACGCGTGCATCGTATCGCGGAACGACGTCTCCGCCATCGGCATATACATATACACACGTGTACGAAAGCTCGCGCGTCGCGGCGGATCAAGCTCGCTCGAGCGTATATTATCAATTTCGCGCTGCCGGCGATATTTCCGGGGGGACAAACCGCGAATGCAGGAATTTTCACCGAGATGTGCGGGGCTTATTTTTTACCCGCGACGCGTCTTCAATGCGGGTCATTGGAAGGATTTAACAATTTTTCCTTTTTTTTTTTTTTTTTTTTTTTTTTTTTTTTTTTTTTTTTCTTTCCTACGGGCAACCCAAGAATCTAACCATCAGAGAAACTTTGATAAACTGCATTTTTGTCACATTTTTGTCGGGTGCGCGTGACCTCGTTCCAGAGTACGATTTTCAATATTTTTTCCCTCGCTCATTAATCTCTTGGTAATTAATTGAGATGTATATATATATATGGAAAATTCCCCATCCACCAATGGAATGCCAATAAACCGGTCCCAGACGGCCTGCCACTATTATATACACAATATAGGCCGCACGTGCACGAGCAATTGGATAACGATAATTGATTACACCCCCCACGCTCTCGGCCCTGCCCTTTTTTTTATTTTTCATTTTCACGCGGTGGAATACAATACGTATATACAGTGTATTGTATATATACATATACTCACCTATACGTCGGGCAAATCGGCCGAGTAATTATATTTTCTTTTACACTTTACTCCTGAGGGGAAACTTTACTTGAAATTCATCCCTCGACGGGAATGGCATATCCAAAGGTACCTATGATATAATATAATGTTTAATCAGCGCGAAAAGAGCATACCTGCACATTGGGCCATCAGCGAGGGGATATATTTAAATCGGGAACGGATCGCAGAAGCGGCACATTGTTCCCTCATTATGACACGCGACGATGACCATCCTCCCTCTCGGTGGCGTGTCCGTAACTGGACGTCCCCACGCGTATATAATGTATATGCATATAGTCCTACAATTGCAGAGCACTGCAGAGAATGTAGTGCGTCGGGTAGGCATATATATATATATATATAGACACATCGTGCAGGGGACAGCCGATGATGCATATACGAGGGGCTGTTGACACGCCGTAGCGTCATAGTCAGCCTCTCCGTAATACACACACCACCAGCCCTCTCTTTATTATCTGTCTCCGTCTCGCCGGCGGTCCATTATATTATGCACCCATACCACCGTGTATACACTCTGTGTGTGTACGCCGATCCACCTGCCTCTCGGGCCCCCATCCACCCCAAAACCTACCACCATTTGCCAAATTGGGACAATATACATATAACTGAGCACCCGCGATACCTGTATATCATATATATATGCCTACGTAGCAGGCGTGCATTATGATAATTACTGGTCTCGAAGCTAAACAATCGGGACCACGAGTGCGCGCGTACAATCGGTAAGTTCAATTGGGCCCGAGATCGTTGGATCCTGTGTTGTGTATATTATACAATATTGGTATACGCGTATGCACGAGTGGAAATCGATCAATACTTATGTGTCTTTAGGCTGCTGTGCGCGTAAAATGAACCGCAGTTATTACAAACCGCGTGGATGTAATTGGAAATCAGTGTTAAACGGGTTATTGGGTTACTTTTTGTTGTATTTTATACCCGTGAGGTAACTTTGGAAAAGCTCGATAATCATATATGGGGCTGTAACTACAAGACATGTTTAATCATTTCGACGGAATTCGATAAAAATGGTACGCCTGTGCATGTATCCGGGAAAATCTCCGATAAAGTACAGGCGAAATCGTCCACGACTATACAAAAGCTCAATTAAAGATGGTGTGTGTGTGCGCGATGAAACCCCCATGAGCACGAGGATGATCATCGCCGCGCGTTACCATACGGTCTATACGTTATACGTATACTCGTTACACCCCATATAGGCTATAGCAACTTATACGCGTGCGATGATGTTGTAATGAGGGACGAGACTTTTTAACACCAAGAGGGAGGAAGAAAAGTTGTAGGGCTGATAATGTATACTTGGACCGGTGCGCGTGGACATTCACACATATACGATATTATACTATGTAGCTGAAGTCGATTGTCATTGGCAGTGTAGTGATGCTGTGCGTTTCTCCGTTGACTGGATCCGGTCGGGCACGTCGGAAGTTTCGCACCTGCCGGACCCGCCATTTCCCTCTTCGAAGGCACGGGGTGTACAACATGCATTTCTATATGATTATCATCGCGTACCAACTACTGCGACCATCCGCGCACACCGGTCTTTCCATTTTTAAGCCGATGGTTTAAATGCACGCGCGTTTTAATACCAACAATTAATCGTGCATAACAGTGCGTCATTGCATCGAGCGATTCCAAGAAAATATCCTTTCGAGTACAATCGTGCGGTTATTGCAATCAAACGTGAGTGCGAAAACAAATATTCAACTCTGCGCTTACGTACATATGGAAGCGAAGTTGTTTGTTTTTTTTTTTTTTTCTCTCTCTTTGAATCCTAGTTACGTGGAAACTTTTTTCTTTTTTTTATCAACTGTACTAATTGTTGATGCATCAAAAATAACAGAGGTATTAAAAGATGAAAGGTTCGCGTGCATAATTATTATATAGGTACACAACGCATAAAGTATATTTGCGTTTGATGTTAAAAACCCTGAAACGACATTGATGCAACCGTCATTGACACAGAGTTGATGATTGTAGTCTATCGAAGGTAGTTGGTATTATTCGCTAAAATTAAAAAGTTATGTTGAAAAAAAAAAGAATACATATTCGTTTGGTTCAACACCGAGTCATAGATCGTACACACACGCACGTAAATTGTCCTTTTCCTTCGATCTTGCGCACGAGGTGCTCATCCGCCCGGTGCAGCTTGATTTGCCCCAGAGATCATTACGCGGAGGGAGGATGAGGAATCACGCGGACGTATATACACCTAGATATTATACATACAATACACGCAGAGAGAAGAGGGTATTGGGTTGACGTGTCGGAGGATACGCGAGGGTCGATGACAACGGAACGGACGCTGGGCATGTATAACTGCAAGCTTGCACGATGGGTCCACGGCTAATGTCCCATTTGACGATGACAGGTATTATATCCCCCTCCTCTCTCCCTCTGCCCGTGCCTATACTACTTCACTTTGTCATCGCCCACTCACTCGTGCAACGGAGGACGCTCCAAGTACACGCATATTATATGCACGTGGCGGGGGGGCCAAGCGTGAACGTCCAGTGATGACCTGTATTATATATTATATAACATGTAGATGGACACGCAGATACGCGGACAGTGAATATCGGACTTAGTTTGGGGCGGTTGGTCGTGATATGTCACACGCCGATCGATAATCATAAATGACGCGTGAAATTCATTAACGACACTCGATTACTATACGTACATACATGTTTTATTTAAAATTTTGATTTCGAAAGTATATTATATATAAAGCACAGCCAAACCCACGGGTGGGGCAATCTCGTGCGATAAAGTCATTTATACGGTAGATTCATCCACATATCTATCAATATTTCAAGTGACAATCAAGATTTTACTGCGCAATACGTTTTTCTCGCCAACACATCGTTGGTTTCTCTATTCATGTAACCATGTAGTCTGCATCAAAATCATATGTTTATAAAAGGTGCAGAAACAAAAAAAAATCACCATCTGAAATATGGTAAAATTCCATTTCATGTGTCTCGTAAAAATAATTGCAGCTATATGTATCGCTACGGATTGTATGCACTCGCATTTTCTCGCGATCCAATACTTGTATAGTATTTAGTTTATGCCGCTCACCGAATACTGTACGTATTATCTATAAAAAGAAAATAAAAAAAAAACACGTCAATTTTTTCGTAGTGAAAGGCAAAAATTAGCAACCATACGGTACAAAAAAAAACGGCCACGAACGTTAGTCGCACTTAATAGGTACATGAAAATTCGAGCTGTGGAGATCTGAAGTGAGTTTAGAAGTCCCTCTCGAAAATTCATTTCGCCTCTTAGCCCCGGCGAGTCGTCTCAGTCGCTGCGGCAATCAGAGATTCAAAGGGGAGCCCCTTGCGCTTGAAGATAATAACTACCGGCGCTCATCCTCGTACAGCCCGTGGCTACATTAATTACGATGCGCCGACGAACGTTTGAATTCCGGCCACAGGGACGTTAGACCGAGTGTGGGGTGTCTTTGAAAAGGAGCTTCGTAGGAGGGATGATACTCTACTTGTCCTTGTCGTCTGGACTGGGGATGCTTCGTGAATAAAGTGCCAATAAACATTTCGTTCTTCGTTGTATTTTTGTACATTTATTGATGGAAAAAAAAAACATTATTTTTTGGTTCAACAAGAAATACCTATAAAAAAATATGCACAAATGTTTTTCTCCAAAATAAAAACGACTGGAGAGATAACGCGCGAGATATTCTTTTCTTGGAAAAGTTTCGGTCACTCGATAGTGATTAGTCTTAGTCGCGCATATAATATATATAATTACAATTACATGATTCTGGGTATCTACAATATCCTTCACTTTTTTATAAAATAGTTCGCAGTATGTATACTTTGTTTAACAGAGTACAAATTATGTTGCAATCTTAAAATTTTTGCAGACATAATCACGGAACGTCACGGGTCAGCTGCAAGTTGAACTTGATTTACGGGAATATACTGTGGAAAATATTGCAAAACGATAGTGCATTCATCAATAACTCGTAAGAAGCCCTAATTTTTTTTTTTATCTATTGGATCGTGCTTTTTATATTTATTTTCATTCCTTGTTGCCTACGCAGCGGTACTAAATAACATTTGAAAATTTAAATTTTGCAACTCGAAATTAAACATTTTCAACAGAAATATAAATAACGCAAGTTCAATGCCACGAATCGGTATGCATATTTGACTAAACTGTATATACATGTATCATAATATTGTACTTTACCAAGGGTAACATGAGTAAAAAAACACGTCGTATTAAACAATTTGCAAATTCTATGCACTTTTTTACGTTCACAATAAGTTGATCGCACATAATAACTATACCAATAAATAACCAATACGAATAAAAAGTTTTGTCACAAAAAAGCAGTCTTCATATAAAATGGAGCCAAGATCACGGGTAATCTAGGAGAAGAGTAGTTTTTTTCACTTACAAAAATAGTTGAATTATTCCATCCTCTCTTAATGTAATTCATACGAGTTATATCTCATGTTAAGTTAATAACAAAACTGTCCATGTGTCTGTTGTTAGCGAGATCCAGTTTTATTTTTTTGGTTTTCAAAGAATCACTCGCAGGTCTTTTTAATTTACTCGGTGAAGTTTTCGGAACTGGAAATGTTTCTTGCTTCGAATGACCTCCAAAACCGTCAAATGCAATGGACTTGTCTTGTCTTCCAGAATTCTGAAATCAATTTTTCAATAATATATTTTTCTATTGCAAACAGTCGCATCTAAATTTTTTTAAATATATATTACCTTAAAAGTCGAACCAAGCTTCTTTGAAGACCATACTAACGGCTTGAGGGAAAATGTGCCCACTTGCGAATCTTTGTCTTTTACAGACAGAACGTTTCTTGATTTTGTAGGCAGGTACGGGGAGTTTTCTTCATTTTCTTTGGATTTTTTTACTTGTACAGGTACTGGTACTGACTGAAAAATTAATTACCTTTATAAAATAATACTCTTTGGAAATATTTAATTTTTCAGTAGTACAAAAATTTCGTACCGAAGAAAATGAAATATCAGGGTCATCACTGTCTTCTAAAGTAATATGATGTAGGTGCTCAAATGATTCTTTAAGTTTTTTTGGAGGCACAGTTGTATTAAGATCCAATTTGTCATCTACTCCACGTTTGCGAGACTCTGCAATTTTCGAACAAGACTGTGATTCTTCTGTTGAAGCTTTGTCTATTTCATTAGTTCCGCTCTTCATTTCATTATATTTTTTTTTCAATTCGTCAAATTCACTAATCGAAAGAGCTAGTGCCTCTTGTAATTCTTCACTAGAAGTAAAAAATAAAAACAAATAACAGAATCAATTATGCTGGGAAATCCTGAAAAATTTGAATTCAATACTCACATTTGTTTCAAATAATTACTGGTAATCGATGTTTTTTCCATCCTTACAGTTTGCACAGTTTGCTCTAATTTTCGACTTCTTGCCCTTAAATATTTTATTTTTGCCATACTTTCGACTAATTGCCTGTTAAAAAAATATTTGGGTAAAATTAGTTCATAAAACTTTACTAAACCTTGAGAGAATTATTGGCCAACTCACTTTTTCAAAACAGAAACGTAAGTCTTGAGAGTCGATGCTTCTTCAATTTCATTCACCATTTCGCTTACATCCTGCTCACTTTCACGTACTAATTTCTTTACACTGAAATTAGAAACACACATGAATGAAACATATACAAAATGTACTTTTCGAAATAAAAGAAATCTTGACAATTACCATTCGTACATCCCTATTTCTTTTGACAACTTTTCTTTATCGTTCTTAAGCTTTTCGTAATCCTTACATCTCTCCTGAAAATGTGAAGATTCATCTTTTAATCCACGAATGATAGCTTTCTTATCCCTTAACTGAGACTCAATTTTTTTGTTCTCTTCTTTGAGGCCCAGAATTTGTTTGTTTAGTTCGGCGTTTTTGTTTATATAGTTCCTGTTTTCCGTTTCCTTCAGTTTAACTTTGAACACAAGACCATCCACCTTCTGTTGTAGAGCAACAGAATCTTCTTTGACATCCTCAGCGGTAGTAAAGTTGAAATAAATCCTAGTGATCTTGTTGCGCAGCACTCTTTGTCTACATTCCGGACAGCTAGGGTTCCTTGAAATCAACAAATTTGACACATTAGTAAACTTGCGCAATAGGTACCCTGTACGACGACATGAAAATTAACCATTTCACAAGATCACGATTGCTAGGGATGAAACTAAAAAAAAAATTATCTTACTTTTCAAGCCACTGCATGAGACAGGGAAAGTGAAAGACGTGTCCGCAGGGTGTCATGAAGATGTCGTTCGAAGGAACCAGGAGGTCTTGACAGATCGCGCACAAGACATTCATCGTGCCGGCCCTTCAGGATTCTTTCTCCTTATGTATCAATAAAAAACTATATCGCAGGACTACTTTGAGCCTTTCGCTCTCGCGAGCAAAGCGACAGCCATGCGAAATCAATTTATTTTTGTGAAAGACTCACTTTATCTGGTGTGCGCATTTTATTACCTCTGAGATAAGTGAGGGCAGATTGGAAGAACCATTACCGAACGAACACTCGAGAAAAGCATCAATGTCAACACTAACAACGAATAATAGCGACAACAAACAAAAACACTGAAGTTGTAAACAAATTTTGCAGTTGGAGTATACACATGCACGCAATCGGAATTCGGAGGTCTTTACGAGGGCGTCCGCTTTCTTCGAGCTTGGCGCCCCCTACATCACGGTGATTGGCGCCAAATTTACAATCGAGAGAGGGATGAAATAATAACATGGGCAAGATATTTTTTTTTTTTTTTTTTTTTTTTATAAAATATTTCGTAAAGCAATGTATGTACACGGCTGCTGTGAATACATAGGTGATTAGAGCTTACGAGTGTTTTAAATTAAATAACAACTTTTTTAAATAAATAACACAACTCCTTCAAATAAATAATATAAAATTTGCTAAAACTCAATATTTCATAAAATCGACATTTTTCACATAAATGATTCATTTTATTTTTAAAACACATTTGCTAAATAAAAAAAAAAAAAAAAATTGGCAACACACTGTGTGTTTATCCAAGTGGGTAGTTGAAGTAGCAATTTTTTTGTTTTTTTTTTACGAAATGCATTATCAACACTACTGTGATGCATTTCATGAAAAACGAGAACTTGAACTATACCAAACCAACAAAAAGTACGTGTCACCGATGTGGTATGCAGATTTGCTAACAGAGAAAAATCAACGTGTAAAGGAGATAATAATGTAAAATGCGCTCGGAATCGTTGGCTTTGGCTAAACACATCGTGGAACATGTAAGTAATATGGCTAAAACATTTTGTTAGGTATAATACCCATGAGACATACATCATTATATCATAAAAATTCCACCGCAGTTGCCAATGTACACAAATTCTTTTGTTTACCCGCTTCACGTATCATGTATATATATATTTGTACTAAAAAATTCAACATTTCGTAACTAAACATCCATATCACGCACACTCTCGGGAAGATGAAAAAAAAAAAAAAAAGAAAATCTTTTGGATAGCCAATGGGGTGACAAAATATATGTACGATATAATACGTTCATCCACCATCAATCGTTCAACTCATTCTCAACGTCATCGTCCAATGGGAAAATATTTTATACAATATAATATATACATATAGGCACTCAAAGTCTCCCCCTGTATAATATATGCACCGCAAAAGTCACATCAGCAGCAGCCCATCGTATCAGGCCTTGATGCTCAGCTCGTCTTCTTCATCCTCGTCGTCATCGTCGTTGCCCGTAAAGAACCTGGCCCGTCCACACTCGCAGGTCACCCCACTGGTAAGCACCTCCTCCCCGGACTCCACGTCCAACCTCAGCTCCGGTGAGCTCTTGCTCACCGCTTGGCTCTCCTCGAGGGACTTGATCCTCCTCGTCAGCCGTAGGGCTGCCTGGCGCTGCCGGCGCGCCAAGAACTTGGGGAAGCTGTTGAACCGCTCGGCTCGCCCGACCACCGAAGGCTCCTGGCCCTCCTCGATGCTCTCCTCCCGGCACAGGAAGCCACCCCGACCTCCTCGTACCCCCTCGCTCGGCCCCCTTCACACACGGCCCAATTATTTATTTACCTCACCCGGTGGGTGGTGCAATCGTACATAGTATGAGCAATTACTTGGGCATCCTGGGTGTGGCGTCGTCGGTAGGTACAGCGGGATGGTCGAGTTCGTCGTCGGCGGCGGAGGGTCGTCTGACGTCGATGCTGGGAATGTTGAAGGAGCGCGACTGGGGGAGCCTGGAGATCGGCGGGGCGGTCCAGCCGGGGATGGCCTCGGACTTGAGGTTCGTGGCGCTGGGCCAGGGCTGGATGCTGACCCGGGCAGTTTTGGCGAGGGCGAGGAACGGCTTGCGCAGGCCGTGCTGCTCCCCGAACTTGCCCTTGAGGGAGAACATCTTGACCGCCTCGGCGAGGGCGCTCGTTGGCCGGCCGGTTCTCCCGGGCTGCTCCGGGTACTGCTCCTGCTCCTGGACGCTCAGCGTAACGATCGTTTCGCTAGGGCCGCGAGCCACTCGACGAGATGACTGAGGAGAGGAGCCACCCTGGCTGAAACAAATTTGCTTACGTAAGGGCATTCAAGGCGCACCTCCTCTATACTATACACTTTGGAGGACCCTACCCTGGAATCTTGAAAAAACCATTATGTATACACACATATATACATATATATTCACCCCAATATCAATGTACCTTCCTCCTCCTAGGGGTTACAAGTATTATACATTGATCAACGGCTAAAATTTCAAACTATTATTTGATTAATCCGAGTGATGTCTCTTTTTTTTCAAATTCAAGCGGCACTGGCCAATCAATTACTTTTTAATTACCCCTGGGGTAGAGAATACGAGATTTCGATAGCGGTAAAATTGTAAATGTGATGTAAATTTTAATCAATAATAATGTAGATAATAACAATGAGAGTACGCCCAATATTGAGATCCCATAAAATCAGCAAATAAAAACAACATTGCTGTTATGTAAGGGGGTTCCAATCGTATTGATATCTTACCGTCTCTCGCCAACCGACGGGCTGTCGTTCGCGTTGATGGCCAAACTAGCGTCGGACGTCTTGGGACTGGCCGTGCTCGACGTGTCCTGTTTCTCTTCTTCCTCGGCGATGTTGGGCAGGAACATGGTTTGCTTGGCTTCGGGCACGCTGGAGGAACATTTACATTTCTTCGTATTAAAATTTTCTTCGCCAATATGCGTTCAACCATCTGATGCACACGTAGCGGGTATCGATCTTTTTTTTTACTAGAAATTACCCCTTTTTTTTCCTAATCTTTCGAACTCGGTCCCAGAGCTCTCGGAGCGCGCTTAACGGGACGCCCCTGCTATATAGAGAGAAAAAACATCCTTAATACACCAAAACTCCACACCCGGTAACAATGTTCGAGTTTCTGTGACCGAGATTCGAACCTACGCCCTTCTTGATGCGGTACGACCACCCAATTTAAAAAAAAAAAAAAAAATAAATGTAGTATTGAATATTATTACGATTGCTCCTACAATGGGTGTAATTAAAAAAATTTTTAAGTATATAACTTGCCTCATGTTCGCCACGCTGCCTCGGTAAGTTTGGCGCTTGTACGCGGCTGCAGCTTCCGTGTACGGTAAGATGATGTTCTCCGAGTCATAGTAAATGTCCTTGACGAGAGGCGGGCAGCGGTTCATCAACGTGTCGACCCCGAGATAGGAAACCTTTCGCAAAAATCGCGTAAATATTACAAGCTGTTTCATTTAAAATTTCAATGTACTCGGGAGCTCCCAAGACTTTTTTTTTTTTTTTTTTTTTTTTTTTTCTTTACATTTATACCTTTAGACATAAGATATTTAACTAGTTTTTTTTTTTCAATTAATTTTTTTTAATTTATCCGAAAGACGACAATCTTTGTTTCAAAGCACGAATATAGTCTCTAGAAAGTTTTTCTAACGCCTAGTATCACAAGGGGTAAACGCCAGCGTTGTCGCCACTAGAAAACAATATGAACATTTAAATGGTATTTTACCTTGGTGTGGCGATCAATTAGCCAATTAAGCTCGAAATCCTCGTCGTCGTCGCCAAAAGGATTAATTAACTGTTCCGCGACCTATAGAAAACAAAAAAAAAATGTACAAAACATCACACTTTTATCCATCACAATAACAACATAGGTATACGTATTTGTATAGTTATAATGGACTTTGAGTAGTTCCAGAGTTGCGCGGAGGTAGGTTTATTTTTAGCTCTGACGTATATATATATATATCTCTGCCACTAGGCTGCACTTTGCGATAGGTATAATGTGTAATATATTATAAATACCAACGCTAACCTTGAGTAGACCCATGAAGAAAAAGAACTGCAGTACCGTAAATACGGGAAAATAAATGTCAACTTTCATTTGGAATGGCTTGATGGCACCCTCGATGTACTGTCGGCCGACTAGCGCCACAGCGAAGAAACTGTAAGTGGCCAGAGTTACCACTTGCGTGTAGACAAGCGGTATGGACACCCAATCGTAACTCCAGAGCATACCGCACTTTGATCGGAAATCGTTGAACTCCTGAATCGTAAGACAATCGCATTTAACCATATAACATACCCTACACTCAATCGCTCATACATGTACAGCGAAGGTTTGAAAATTTACATACTTGATTTAAATTGTAAAAAAAAAGAGAGAGAGAAAGAGAGAATATTATTCATTTATCGCCTATATAATTATGTGGACGTACACGTGTATAAGCGTTTACCTCCATTATGATCTTCAAGCCTTGGGGGTCGGCCAATCGATGATTCGCTCTGGCCTCTTTGAGCAAATTGATGAACCACGTGCAAGGGATCCAGTAGGTGTTGAATTCGAGGCTCGGCACCGACACGAACAGATCCAACTCGAGCGCGGTCATGAAACCTGCAGTTAAATCCCCCCCCCCCCCCTCCAAAATAAAAATCATGAAGCACGTACAGCAAGCAAAGCTACGCTATTGTATACAGACCGGCATCGACAACGTGATCCAAGGTGGGAAATCGCCTCTTCACGGCCGAACTGATGGACCTCAAGACGAGGATGAGCGACAGATTGAGGTAACGCATGAGGGCACGGCGCACCATGCGCCCGTACTCGTCGTTCCCCGTCACGTAAAGCGCCACCGAGTGCATCACCCTTCATAGCACCAAATCATCCGTTGACCACCCAAAAGAGATAGAGAGAGAGAGAGAAATCCAATACGTACAAGTAAACGTGCGTGGATGTAAAAAGAAAAAAAAAAAAAAAAAAAAAAAAAAAAAAAGGGACATACTTGTCGGGCCAAGGTATGGCCATGTACTGCTGCCACCACCTGCTGGCGACGTAAGCGACGTAAAAGCCGAGGACGAAGCTGAGCGGTATGAGGTTGATGAAGGTATCGCAGTAGACGACTATCTGCTCGAAGGACCTCTTCTGGGTGGTGGTGAGCACGTGGCGATAGAGCACCGATATGACGCCAAATAGGAGGAGAAACAGCGCGAGTTCCCTGTATATGAGCTTGTAGAGGGAGCCCCGCCACATGAACAGGAGCCTGGTGAAGCCGCCGCTGGTCGAGCTAGCGACCTCGTACTGGTACGACACGGTCATGATATATATATATGTATGTATGGGTTATATGGTCCGGTGGTCGGTGCAAGCTCCGGCGTCGCTAATGCAACATCGGCGACGGGTCCACTCCGGCTGGACCGAGTCTGCTCGGGAATGCAAGCGCCTTGGGCTCCTCATCCTTCCCCCGCTGCTTTCGCTCTCTGAAGGAATTTTCAAAATTTTTTCAAAGTATGAACAAACGCGCCAATTCACCATTACATCGGGTTCACTCGGAGCGGGCTACTTGTGAGCTTTCTCGCGCCCGATGCAGTGTTTGTGTACATAGCGTTCGACACGCGGCACGTTATGTCGGGCCGTTACAAGCTCGGTCGATCAACAAACGCCGAGGCACGCAATCGCTCGGCGAATCTCATATCGTGTTATTATATGTGTACGTGTATGTATATATATGCACATTATACACGCGAGTTAGCCGGAAATTTAGTAACTTTGCTCGTACATACACACCAAAGTTCATTACCATTTATAGCTGCCAATGATCCGTCCGGGGATTAATCGAGCGAAAGCTAGTTGGGGGCTTTTGTGTATACGTTATAAATGTAAGAGAGTCCGAGTGTGTGTGATTTGAAAAATGCCGATGTATTTGTTTCCTTGGAAGGGGAAGACAAATTTTCACATGTATTCGCAGTGCACATATTATAATTTTAGCTCGTTTATTGAGTTTAGAAAAAATACATATATGCGTATGACTATGAAAAACAAAAATTTTATTTTTAAGAATAGAGGTTTTTTTTTACGATTTTTCAAAAAATTCGGCTAGGAAAAAAAATGTACAAAATATAGTTTCTGATACTGGGAAACGAATTCGGGTACTTATACCCTATATACTATAATATCTCAAAAAAAGATAAATACATTATGGTTTGCTTTAATTTTCTTACTTTCAACAAAGTCAGTGTACCTATACATGGTAGAATGGCCGGTGAAAATAGTTAAACGTTACAATATAGTAGCTGAGAGATACCGGGTATAGCCCAAAGTTTGTAACTGCTGCAACTGGGTACATACCTGCATGGCAATGCACCTTATATTGGGGCTGCTCCGATCAAAGGAGCCCACACACATATATTATATCCTAGACCTAGATAGATAAATATCGGCGCGGATTCATCGTCGTCGTTAATCTCCCGGCTATTGGAGCCAACGGACGCCCGGCCGAAAGAACTTGCACGCCACGCGTGAGTACAACAGTGCCGATGAAAATAAAATTTTTGGGGGTAAATTTTTACTCTCATAAGATATTTCGCGCCCCCGGGATCAACGGTGCAAAGAACGGCATGAAGAATAAACAAAATCACCTCAACGAGGAAAAAGATCGGCGTCGTTGAACTTGCGGAGCCCTTCGAGCGACAGCGCCAACCTCGTATTAATCATAACAGCGTGACTGGGCTCGAAATGCAGATATTATCCGTCACCTCGACTGTACCGTAAAATATCTCGCCATACTGTGCAAGGTGTGATATGCGTTGTATATAAATATGAACGTTCGTGACTATAGGCCCACGGCTGTATATCCCTTTACCTTCCCCTCCCCTAAATTAAGGAGCAAGTCATCTTTCGTATCGCTTCGATGGTATAAAAAAATACGTAGTTCTAATATATTCTTTTATTGGCACACGTGTGTTTGATTAATACCGTTTGTGGGGGGTTATTGGGTACATTATTCCGAGTCAAGTTGGCTGGATTTGTCATCTACGAGACGCGCGAGGACCTCATTTCTTTGGCTATCAAAGGAGATGAGTGTCAAGGTATGATGCCGTCACGAGACTATGACCGATCCACGCGTGGCCGCATCGGTATATGGACGGTTCAGTGTGTGCTACACGGTCTAAATAATTATTTATTTTAATCGTCCCTCGACGAGATCGTTAACTTAAAATGTCGCACAATCAACGCATCCATACGAGCGGTTTTACGAAAAAAGTCACAAGTTGCACTCATTACAAAAGTACGTGTATTGATTACTACTTTTTTCTATACGTATATATATATATGTACATCTTCGGAACTTTGTGGTATCAATTTTTGTTCAAAAAGTGTTTGCTTTCACTGAATGTGAATACAAAATTTTTTTGCTCCCAGGCCCACATGATTCAGAAATATGAAAAGTAAAGAGACTTTTTTTAAAAAATTTGAAAATAAAGTCTGAGTTTGGAGTTTCCAATGGTTAATTGACTTTTGAAGATGTATATAATATACATTAAAACAAAACATTGGCATTGTTCGGACCGCGTACAGTATGTGCTTCTTTTTTTTATGGACCCGTTCATGTACACACGCATTGTACAAAGCACATGAGAGAAATACCTCGCCGGCCAATATAGTCTCTGGTCTCCGTGTTACGATGGTCTATAAATCGCGATAAAATCTCTCAACTATTTTCCCAGCAATTCTACAATGATTCTCTTTTTCGAGCGCAAAATTCCAGACGGGGAGTCTCGGTGGTGCCGACATACGCGCCGAGGAAAAAAAAAAAAAAAAAAAAAAAAAGACAACTACCGCTCTCTCATCTCGACTCGATAATAAAAGGGCGCGCCTTTGACCGCACGAACATCACAAGACACGCGTGCATGACGCGTCTTATAAGAATCAGCGCCGATCCGTCGCGTTGCTCTGCTCATTACGCGCTCTCTTGTGCTCCGTGTAACATATGTACCTGCGTGCTCTCGTTATAGCTTTAAAGAACGGGATCGCGAGAAACGTCACATATAGCGCCGCTCGCGTGTAAATATACCTATATACATGTGTAACGTTGGGCGACCGAGAGATCGCATTATATACTTATCGACTCCGTTTAGGCGTCAATGTCACGAAAGCTGGAAAATTTGGTGAGCGAGCCCCGGCTGTAAGGCCGTCGGCCAGAACGAAATTAGTCGCCTCCCTGTTGGCATGAGTCGCTCGACAACCACCCCGCGGCTCAGCTCGGGGCTACAAATGTTCAAATTTCATCGACTTCCGCGATTTGCCCTCTTACTCGTGTGTACGCAATCACCGATGGATCATTTTTTTTTTTTTTTTTTTTTTTTCACCTGCCTTGCCTATCCTCCTCCTCGTAGTATACATTACTTGACTTACTTTCATTTTTTGCCAAACTGTACCGTCATTGTAGGACCGCGCCCCTGGCATAGAGAGAGAGAGTTGGAAAAATTAGTTTTTAAATCTTGGAGATTTCCAACGATAAAGTCGTAATGATCCAGCACTTTTGTCTATATTTTCGAGTGACCGAGACAAAGAGTATATATATATATATAAGACGTTGGCGAATTATAAAGATATTAACTAGCGGCCCGACCCGAGTGAGTTTATTTGCACGGGCGTAAAAATAAATGCCGCGGTCAATTTTGTTGACCAATGGAGTTGCTTCGGACCGAGGCGAAGAGCAAGCAGTGAATGAAACGCACGGAGAGAGAGAGAGAGAGAGAGCTGCACTCTCAATCTGTACACACGTTGCGCACGTGCGCGTGAATATGTTTATGGTTTATCGATGAGGTGCTATATACAAATATACACTTGGAGCTTTGGGATGATTTTTTTTTTCCGTGTAAAAGAGCTTTTGCAACGTGTCGCCGAGTGCTGAGTATATGACCCAAGCAACCACCAGTAGCCGTCATCCGCGCGTCACGTGTTTTTATTATCAATATTTCGGTGGAAGGCGCGCGATTCGTATACCCAATATTGTTTTGCTCCCATTGCGCGTTGGCGCGCCGGTTTTAACATATATATATATATATATACACCAATCCACGACAATGGGCTCTCTTCCATCGGGCCTTCGTATAAAGTAAATCGGCCGATGGTGATTAACCTACTGTCGCGGGTATACCTACATAATATACATATGTATGTATACGACGGCGCGTATGCTTTTGGCACTGTCTTCCAAAACGCTGTTAAATACCGAAATACAATAGCTGCACCGCCTAAGCTCAAAGTTCGCTAATAATTACATAGGTGAATTTTTAGATCATAGCAAATATATTTATATATACGCACAACTTTTGTCGTTCGGGTGTGAATATGTGTCATATATAACTTGCAATTAAGCCCCATCGAGATAATATATCGTATGTGCATGGGTGTACCATATGCAAACTTCTGACAGAGTGTACTGACCCAAAAGCCGAAACTCGCCCCGGAAGCAAAGGAGCCGGGAAAATAATAGAGGGTACACTTACACATGCATATATATACAATCCGGCGAGTTATGGCCGGGCGATGTATATATAAGCATGCCACGTACATAGGTACGTCTCGTATAAATATATATGTAACACATGCACGCGAATTCGCATGCGAGAGAAAAGCATATATATATATATAACTCGTGCACCCGCAAAGTGTGATGTATATAATATATAATGTAGGTGGTGGATTCCATTCGATTATTTCTTTTAGTTTTTGTTCCCTTAGCTTGTGTGCAGTACGTACGAGTGTGCGCGAAGGTTGCGATATCCCTCGGAGTTTAAAAGTGTGGGCTCGGGGAGATTAGATCGACGCCAATTAGGTATAGTACCGCGAGGGAAGCTCGTATCGGGGGAAGACCCAATGTTCGACCCGGTTGAGAAATCGGACCACGGGAAGTTATTAAAACTCTGTGCTCCGTTTTGAGGGAATTTTAGCCACGTCTATTTGGCAGGTAAAGGTCGCCGACTCCGAGGGGGAGAAGTTAAAGGCAACTGGGGTAAGCTGTATGTGGTTGTCTTTCGATGTATAACCCATAACCGAGGAGGAAGCTGGACCGGAGCACCACATCATCGCGGATATGACAGAGAATAGAAAATCGCGGGAGCCATTACGAGTAAGTGCAGGCGTCAAAAGCTCCGGTAAACACGTCTGTTTGCTCTCTTTCGCGCCACCATCGGCCCACTCGTTGCAGCCTCCCCCGCAAAACAAATAGATCACAGCACGCAAATATATGTAAGCACGTATTGTGTATGTATACATGTGTACCCCCTATACTCGCGTCGATCCCGTACTAGTGAATCACATTTCATACCTATTCCGAGATTTTGCTTCGCGCTTTTCTATAGGTATATAATGAGTATATACGTAGCCTCGCGGGCGCCAACAGATTTTGTACGTTAAACAAATTTTCTTGGGCTTTGTATATTTTTGCGGGGTGCGTTACGTGTACAATTTTACTGTTTTTCAAGCCGATCGGTTCGGTTACCGATCTATTGGCAACAGCATATCAGGTGGGACCCGCGGCCGTGAGAGTCTCTGATTTGCCGCCAAACCGATTTATCTTAGAAATGGTGCGGAAGTGTTTTCCGAAACGCGTGCCTCTTTGGCCTCGTGTGGCCGCTTCAACGGTGGCTTTATTTTGCTTACCGGAAGGGAACAAGAGCCCGTCGGAGCCGAGGAGACGCGCGATTTTCATGCTGCGATCGGCTCGCTCGCGCGTATACCGATTCGCACTACACCCGAGGTGGCATGTCTTCTCCCTTTTCCTCCGCTGCACTGGATCATTTATTATTCAACGATGGCACGCACACCCAGACAAAATTGTCCGGCCTTGCGATGGTTTTTTTTTTTTTTTTCGTACACAGGCGCCAGTTGGGCCGCACGTTTCCTCGTCTCCTCTCCGGCGCGAAGCTCGAAATACACCCGAGATTTTCCCGGTAACGCGTTAAAACGGCGGTACTGCTATACACTAGTAAATATTTTAAATAGCAACACCGAAGAGACGGATGGACACAAAGAAAATGTAAGACAGCGGGTAGGTACAGTAATAATAATGTATACTGGGTCGGGTAGCGTCGCGGGTATATCTTGCGAGCGCTGGGTCGGGCCGACAACTAAGCTCGCAGGGGCCGAAAGCTCGACCGCTCGTGGATGGCTGTGCGCGCGGGCACGTCTCTCTTACCTGGCGCTCCTCCTCCTCCTCCTACTTCTTATTCTCTTTTTCCGAGTGGTAATACGTAATGCTTCGGGGAGTGCAAGAATCATCGACTCAAATTAAATTTACCTTTTTTCATTGAGCCCGGGATCGTATACGCGTACAAACGAGGATGTTGGCAATACTTTGACGGGTGATAAATCATCGGGGGTCAAAGGCAAAAGGATGTCGACGCGCGTGCCATTGTTCAACGTTTTTAATTATATTTAACGGCGAGAGCCTCTCGGAGCTTTTCAGACGTACATAACGCGGTTATGGAGTGCTGACGGACTTACGTAACGAGATGCGCCAACAAGTTATTTCGACGCTCGCTCTTTCGTTACAATCCATTACCGCTTGATACATGCGATATGCATATACGTATATAATTATGTGGATGTTGCGCTTTCAATACTTTGATTTTGTTGCCGATGGCCATTTTCAATTTTCGCTTCCTCGTGGAGTGGGTGTGCTTATTTGTTGTGCTATTGCAGCGGTTGTCAAAAGCTATATATATGCAAGAAAACGTCCAAGTGGGCGGCGATAAATTTTGCGTATCTTCTCAAACGAGCGGGTTTTGCGTCCCAAGAGAGCCAAGCCCGAGCTGGGGTTCGCACTGCGCGGCATACAAGGTGTAATGTATAACAGGGTGCAAGTTGGACGCAAGCCCAAGAGTTTCGAATGTCAAGCTCAGATATGCCGGGGCTCTCGCGGGAAAGCTCGTCGGCTCCTGTTGCTCTGCATGATCTGCAAATCAAATATATATAGTATACCTACATAATATACATATGTATGTATACGACGGCGCGTATGCTTTTGGCACTGTCTTCCAAAACGCTGTTAAATACCGAAATACAATAGCTGCACCGCCTAAGCTCAAAGTTCGCTAATAATTACATAGGTGAATTTTTAGATCATAGCAAATATATTTATATATACGCACAACTTTTGTCGTTCGGGTGTGAATATGTGTCATATATAACTTGCAATTAAGNTTTTTTTTTTTTTTTTTTTTTTTTTTTTTTTTTTTTTTTTTTTTTTTTTTTTTTTTTCCATGAGAATAAATTTTAGTTTGTTATTATGAATAATGCATCATACATGAGTTACCGATACTTTTTTTTTTTATCACTAGAGCAAAGTATTCGTTTGAAATATAAAATAAAAGTGCGTTATGTGCATTAAAAATAAGTTGGGTAATTTCAAATCCTACGAATTTTTTTGGTTCTTTAATGTCAAATGGTAGCTTTTAATTGATTTTTCGGTGAATACAAAACGGTCTAATAATACAATCATGTTCAATCTATATAACATTTTTAAGTTTAATTAGTTGGGATAATGTCAAGCAAAATAGTTTTATGCTGCATAAAATATACGTGCTTCCAAGCGTTGGGGAGACATTTTTTAAATTGTATCGTTTTAGCGGTTCATTATTTTGTTGTCGATAGAATGTTGAATTGATATCTAGAACAGTCCAAAAAATAGGTTTGGTTACGTGTTTTTTTTTATGCCCATCATCTTAAAAATTCAAAAAATTCACCGATGCAAGTATCAAAAGTCATAGGTTGTTAGTTGCACCACTAGTATTGTCTTTATTTCAATAACTCGAGAGAAATTTAAATACTTTGGCGCCATAACAACATCAGCTGATCGAGCAGACGATTCTTTACGTATTACCGCGAGCGTGATTTTCTCCATTTTATCTGATGCGCAGTTTTCAAGTTTAAGTAGTACCAAAAGTTTCCACATGAAACTCATGTTGACATATTATATTCTGTCGCGTTTGATTGTTGAACTGTATTGTACACATCTTGCACAAATATAACTTGTGCTTGCTAATATTGTCACTATCACCAAAAGTCGGTACTGTTTTCTCTCGCGAACCAAACCTACACACAAAAAAGGAAAAGAAAAGAGTCCGCGCGGGGGTCTCTCGGTAACTTTGGTAACAAACGAACGATTAGAATCTCCTTTTTTGTGTTGATCCAAACAAATTCTGACTTGCTTAACCTAATTGTTTGTCGCAAGTCCTAAGAAATGAAGTGAGTTGTTAACGCAAGTTCTCTGCATATGTATAGGTAAGTTAAGCCAAAACTGACTTTCGCCGGCAAACAACTGTTCCTTAACTCTCTACTTTGACGAATTTCGATTGTTATGTGTACAAATTTTATTTCCTGATTGTGCAATAAAGAAGGCGCAGTGATTATTGGCACCGATACCTACTTATTTATCCATCTGTTTGTTAATAACAGATCTTGAGATGGACAAAGCGATTTTACTCCAGAAACAGGTTAGGGAAAACTCGGAGGATTTGCAAAAGGAGTTACGTGATATGGTAGCTTGGGAGGAAGAAATGAAACGAAAAGATTTTGAGATTCGCAACGCGACTAATGATCAGGTATTACTTTGGTCCACTTTTACTTTAAATTGGTGCTCGGTGCTTGGTTAGTTTTTTCTTTGTTCATGGCATTGTTTATTTTTCGAGAATGTAGGAGCTACCACCTGTCAGATGTAAAAAGAAAAAGAAAACTCTTGAAAAATCCAATAATGAGGAAGAGCAAAGCAAGGAGAAAAAGATAGCCGGTTTTGATTACAAGTCTTGGGAAAAGTTTGATGCTGTAAGTTATTGTGTATAATATAGCTTCAGTTAATTTGTTTATCATGACTAATGTTGATTATTACATCAAATTTTTTTATAGGATAAAGCATGCAAGGAAATTGATGGAGAAAATGTTTTAAAAGGTAGAGAAGAAAAAGAATTTGAAATTCCATCAAAAGAGGAACTGGAGAAAGAACACGCAGAGGCTTCAGTGTACAAAGACGAAGGAAATGCTTTGGTCCAAAAGAAAGAGTATGCAAAAGCTGTGGGCAAATACAGTCAAGCTATTAAAATATTTCCTCACGATGCCATTTTCTACGCCAATAGAGCACTGTGTCAATTGAAATTAGCCAAGTAAGTATTCTTATACCACATTCAGTGCCATCCAGAATTCGACATCTAACTTATTTCAAATTGCAGCTTGCATTCAGCTGATGCTGATTGTACTCAAGCTATAAAACTCGATGGAAATTATATCAAAGCGTATCATCGCAGAGCAACAGCAAGAATGGAGCTAAAGCGCTACAAAGATGCACAAAAAGACTTTGAAAAAATTTTGGAGCTCGATCCTACGAATAAAGAAGCTTCCTTGAAACTAAAACAAGTGGAAGAAAAAATTAATAAAGCTCCAAAGCCACTAATTCTTGCTGGAGAAGGTCGTTCAAAGAGTTCCATTGAAAAGACAATAGGCGAAAAATTGTTTGGAAAAAGCACAGCTCACAGCAACAGTGAAATAAGTAATACCACTAGTAAACAAATTACGGAGAAAAGTGGCATGGATAAAAAATCTTCATCCAATGGATCAAAACACAAGCCCTTAATTGAAGAAGTAATAGAGAAAACGGATGGTAAAAAATCTAAAAACGAGATGACACTTCAAGATGAATTACCACCTTGGTTACCTAAGTTGAAAGAAGGTGTAAGCGTCATTCAGCCTTTGAAGGAAGCTCCTCGTGTGCATAAAAAGGTACGATAAACTTAGATATTTTTAAGAACTATAAAGTTCTATAATCTTTTTATTTGTATGTGATCTACAGGCATTAAAGAAAATTAACATTCAAGAAATATCAGAGAAAGAATCGATATTTAGTGGTATTGTTGAAGAAAACTTGGTTGAAGAAAAAACTCTGGAGCAAAACAATGCCCCTACAGATGTTAAAAATGATGCTCCTAAAGATGTTAAAAATGAACCCGAAAGTAACCATAAACAGGACAGTAAACCTAACATTGAAGTAATTGAAGATACACCTCAAGTCCCTAAAACATCAGTTGGGTTCTTTTTGAGCTGGCGTAAAAGTGTATCTAGTGATTATAGATACAGATTTTTAAAGGTAATTTGAAAAAATTTTCAGAATACAAAATTGTACAGTTATTTTAAATGTACTTAAATTGTAGCAAATTATGCCTCGATATTTTCCATCTATTATCAAATCATCGATGGAGGCCAGCATACTCAGCGATATTATATCTGTGTTAAACACAAAGTTTGTGGCGAACGGTGATCACGTTTATGATTGGCTGTACTACCTTTCGAAATTGGAGAGATTTAGGGCCTTGATACTTTTTATGCCTGAATCAGATAAAGAAGGTACGAAATAATTTTTCCTTTGACAACGAAATGGTAAACAGTTGACTAACTCAGTTTATTGTTCCAGTTCTAAAAAGTCTCCTTGAATATTGTAAAACAACAGAAGGCAAGACTGGTGATGAAATTGATAATCTTCGGACTATGTATGAACTGTAGAAGGAACCATTTTTGTACAGATGAACTAAGCTCTAATATATTGACACAATAGATTATAGCGGAAGTACAAAGTTATCTCACGTTTCAGCTGAAAAAAAGAGTTGCATTTAATGAATAGTTTTTTTTCTTCTTCTGTGCAGTGCATACTTAAAATGTCATTTATAAAAATGCTTTAATTCTCAATGCCAATTTAAATATTTGTTGGAGTCTACTGCAGGTGATATTGTAATTAGTAATAATATAATTTTTATAATTATAATGTAATAAATCATTTTTCTCACGAAGTCTTAATCTTAAAAAAAAAAAAAAAAAAAAAATTCAAGTAAGTTAAAATGTTATTTCAAGTTATCTCAATTGAATTGTCGTGGTGAAGAGAAACAAACATGTATTACTCAAGTTTCACATCATCGAAGGAAAATACAACCTCGATGTTTTCACAAAAAAAAATTTGAGCGACGGAAAAAAAAAATTATTCATCACACTTGCTCATCTGGTCAATCCAAGCACGCGACGATGAGTCAGATAAAGATAGCATATTCAAGCATATATAAAAGAGACAACGAACTCTCCGTCCCCCCGCGCCCGATAATACACATATAATTGTGATACGAGAGCAAGAGGAGCGTGCGCGCGTCGTGCATGGAAGCGCGAGCAGCTGAGCCGTATCCAGTGTACCACTTGAATTCACAGTGTATACTTGTGGGGCGTTGATTTCGGGCCATAATGAAAAGGTACCTGGTGGCCCTTGACGTCGGCACGACCACCGTGCGATGCCACGTCCTCGACGAGAGTGGCACCAATGTGGCCACCAGCTTCGAAAAGGTTCGCTCTTGTTTTATCGCCCCTTTCTCCCATGTTTACTAGCGCGTTTCTGCTGTCCCTACATACTTATAGTGTCGTGGGTGTACGTACGTGATATCGATCGCGTATCAGCCGCGTAACGAGTCACTGATTTTTCTGGGTTTTTTTTTCCCATCGCCGGTTTGGCGCGCTCGTTTCCATTCAATTCAAATTCGGTGCAGCTTATCTTTTGGATCTCGTCTCCTTTACTATGTATAAATTTATTGTACTCTGGTATTCGCAAAGTTGATATCCGAAGGAGGAAAAAGTTGTTTCTTTTCCTTTCAATTTTAGATAATATTGTCCTTTGAAAGTTTAAAAGTCTTGAAACTTAACATCAATCCCTTGATAAGAGTTCGTGTATGGAAAATTGTATACAAAATTTTGCATCGTTAGGTGACTTGGTGAAAACAAATAAAACGAAAAAAGGGGGATTATATACCCGCGAGGTTGTATACACGAGTGGTCGAATAAAAAACCGGTTCGTAAGCGAAAGTTATTATTAAAAAATATAGCGCGCCAACGCGAGCGAAAACCCCCAAGGCCACTGATCGGCCATATATACGTACAATACTTGCATCTACCTCGTTACAAACATAATGTCGAGCATTAAGTATGAACGTGTGCATAATACGACGAGGTGTAATGCAGCCTGTACACGTGAATGGGAGAGTCGTCGCGCGTCCTCGATTGGCGCACAAATAAAAGTTCACCTTGCGTATACATCTATCGCGTGTAATGTTCAATAAATAACGAAGAGATAGCCGCTGCTTTCTTTTTTTTTTTTTTTCTACGTCTTTGCTCTCTTGCTTTACGAGCGAGATTTTTATCTTTCATCCCATCCGTGTCGCTCGATTCGATCGGCCTTTTATAGGCTCGATTTTATATCATCACCGCTGCAGCCGCGATTAAAAAAAAAAAGAGAGTGGCATTAAATTATTCGTCAGGAATAATCGCGAAACTCTGTGAAATCGCGACAGGTGGAATTATTGTACCCGAAGCCCGGCTACGTGGAAATCGATCCCGACTGGCTATGGGGCGCTGTCGTTCGCGTCATGCGGAGGTGCATCCAAGGTAAAATAATGTAAGCAACGATAAAGTTAAACAAGACTTATTTTCACCGAAACATTGCGATTGGCCTGCAGATAGCGGCGTGGACGCGGCGAAAATCGAGACCCTCGGGATATCCACGCAGCGCGGGAGCATCATCACTTGGGACCCGGAGAGCGGCAAACACTTCCACAAGTTAGTATACGAAATCACACGATGTGTATGATTGTACCATTGCTCCCCCATCGCGGTATATAGGGCACATTAGGTTTTGTACGTATATGGACGAGCGTGAAAAATTGTCCGTTTGAACAACATAGCGATTTTGCAGTTTCATCACTTGGAAGGACCTGCGCGCCGATTCCTTGGTTAAGGAATGGGACGCGTCTCTGGCGATGCGCGGCCTACGCTTGGGCTCGCGCCTCCTGTACATGACGTTGCGCAACAAGAGGTTCCAAGCCGGCAGCGTGCACCGGCTCATGAACACTCAGGTCAGGTGGATTAATATTATGTGACTTTTACCATCCCTCTTTCTCGATGGATCGTCGGGATTTTCCCCCCGCACTATCGTTTTTTTTTTTTTTTTTTTTTTTTTATCACGAACTCGAGGTACAGAGAGCGATTTGTCACTGTCTTTCTATAGTGTAAAAATTATGTATGTGTGCATCTTTGGCCTGACGAGGTAATTAGTAACACTAATTGCGTCATTAATCATCGAAGAGAGTGAAAAAAAAAAAAAATGCATCACGGTCATTTTCAAACTTATCTTCAGAAGACAATAAAACAAACCATACAGAACTTGTCGTGTGTGATTTCAGATGACTTTACGCTTGCTGTGGGCGCTCCAAAATGTCGACGGCCTCAGAGACGCAGCGACGAGCGGAAAGGCAGTCTTTGGCGGAGTCGACTGTTGGCTCCTCTACAAATTCACCGGTAACACAATAAAATCATTTATCTTCCCCACTTATTGAAAAAATCGGTTATTCCTTAAAAAAAAAAAAATAATGAAATCGTCCACGACAAGGCGCCCACGTGTCGGACGTGTCCAGCGCGTCGGCCTCGGGCCTCTTCGACCCCTTCACGATGGAGTGGGCCGGCTGGGCGCAAAAGCTCTTCGGCCTCCCGGCGACCATGTTCCCGCGGGTCGTCGACACGGCCGGTGACTTTGGCCGGCTGCCCGGCTCGCTCTTCGGCGCCGACATACCGATCTCGTGCTCCATGGCCGACCAGGCGGCCTCGCTCTTCGGCTCCGGCTGCTTCCAGTCCACCGAACTCAAACTGACCATGGGCACCGGCAGCTTCATCAACGTCAACACCGGCCTCGAACCCTGCGTCTCGGTCGCCGGTATGGTTGTCCACTGAATCAGTACAAATCCCGTAACTGCATGTCGTCACCAAAGAGTCATCGAGGCTTTTTCGTTTCCGTACAGGTCTTTATCCTCTGGTGGGGTGGCGATTCGGGTCCGAACTGACGTACGTCGTGGAGGGCGCGTCCAACGACACCGGCAGCATCATCGAGTGGGCCAGGGCTATGGGTGAGTTTGCCATATTGTACCCCACCTGTATGTTGTTGCTCGACACGCGTTTGACAAATTTTTGACACCTTCTTCCCCAGAGTTCGTACAAAACCCGGTAGACACCAACACGCTAGCAACTTCCGTTAACGACTCCGACGGAGTCTACTTCGTGCCTTCGTTTAGCGGCTTGCAGGTAGAATTTGTAATAGTTGGCTGCGGAAGCGGGATTAAAAAAAAAAGATTACATATTTATAATGTTCGCGTTGGTATGCAACTATAGGCACCCATCAACAACCCGAACGCAGCCTCGGGCTTCATCGGCGTAAAACCGACCACTAGAAAGGCCCACCTTGTGAGGGCTATGCTCGAGAGCTTGGTCTTCAGGGTGATTCTACTGTACGAGTGCATTATCCGGGAGACAAAGTTCTCTTACCACTCGATTAAGTATACATGCTCATTTTTCATTGAGGGTGTATAGGTGGCAGTTGCTAAGGGCACACGGTACTGATAAAATGATTTGTAGGGTCGACGGGGGAGTGTCGCGGAACGACTTTGCCATGCAACTGCTGGCTGATCTCACGGGCCTGGAAGTTGAGCGCAGCACAAGCAGCGAGATGTCGATCCTAGGCGTGGCGTTTCTCGCAGGACTTCATCAAGGTTTTTTTTTTTTTTTTCATTCCATCGTGTATTGTGGTTGAATGTACATTAACTTCGGACAATTACCTTTTAGGAATCTGGAGGAACAAGCAGGATATCTTGAAGCTTCGAAAGGTGGAAAGGGTATTCACTCCGAGCAAGAAGAGGCGAGGCGACTACGAAAAAGTTATCAAGGAGTGGAAAAGGGCTGTGGAAAAGTTCAAGGACTGGTACTGACGGTACGCTTCCGGTGCGAACATTGCCAATGATGCAACGGTCCAAAGATGGAGTTACGCCAAGATCGTGGCAGCTTTGTTGATTTTGTTTTTGATGTATAGTGCAATACGAGCTAAACCGAAAGCGAATACTCCGCTGAGGTAGTTTAGTGGGGAAGAGGGGAAATACTCATCAAGTTTTTTATATTTTCGTATAGCAGCGAACGAGACTTTTTTTAATTACAAAATTGATTATAGAATTTTAAAATCTGTTGTTGAATATAGTGTAATTAAAATTTTTTAACATTTTATACACACGTGCGAGCCATGGGTATATACTTTTATTAAGTGCCTTACGTAGGACTGGTGAGACGAAACAAATCTGTAAATAACGATTAAGTATGACTTGCATTTTGATACGGACAGTTGTTAAATAATAAAAATTATTTTTCATCGAAAGAAATAATTTGCTCTTCGTTCCTTCGAATCTCCCTCTTTCATCATTAACACGTGATACTTGCATGTTTCAGGTGAGTAAACTGGCAGTGACAACATTTTGCTCTAAACAAAAAAGAAAAACAAAGGGATATTTACGGATTGATAAAGAAAATTTACTCGTGGATTTATCAGCTTCGTAATTGTTATTCGTACCAAAATACACACGATTGCGTCCGTCCCAACACGACGGAGTGCAGTATCGTAGGTCACGTGAGGCCTGCACTCGTCCAATAAATTGCAAGACTTTGCATTATTCAAACATAGGCATAGACACAGTGGCAATTCATGTATATATACCTAATTAAATGCCTTTTTCTCTCTTCTCGCATCTCGACAACCAACAACGAACACACATCGCGTACATTCGCTATCCTCATCAATAGACTATATACTTATTCACTTACGATTTAAAAAAAAAAAAAAAAAAAAAAAAAAAAAAAAAAAAAACGCTTCTACGTTGAATCAGTAAAACATCACGATCGCGTTTAAAGCCGATACATCCGACGGAGCGTCATTTCGAATATGCGCATACGAATCGAATTTTTCGGAGCATCCAGTGAGTTGCTGCTATGTGTACACCGTGGGCAGAGTATAGTATACACGTAGCAAGCATCTAGTACGAACGGTGTCCCGCGTCAGCTCCCAAGTTTTTTCCCATCGCGAAGGAGTTACAAAAAAGCAAATCGCGAATTATAATACGTGCATCCGATGGTGCACACGTGTGTGCGAGCGAGCGCTACGAATCTAAATGAAAAAAAAAAAAAAAAAAAAGCTCTTGCTCGCGTGTGTTTGGTATAGTTTTGCTATGTGTGTATATATGCACACGCCTGCGATGAACTTGTCGTTTTCCCATCGCGGCGATCGAAAATGAATTCGGATGCCGGTGGTGGTGGTGACGAGTTCATCGGCAACGCGATCGGTCGACCGAGTGCCACGGACTAATCGCTCCGCTCCTACAATTTTTCGTGAAAACTCGTGACAAGCAAAGTTTCGTCTTTTTTCATTTGGTGCCCGGTATCTATTGGTCTCCCGTTGGCTCCGATCGGACGTAGCCATGGTAAGTTTGTTACGATCTTGCATTATTTGTACGTGTAAACGCGAGCGAGATTGGCTTTTTTTCCTTCTTACCGTGCGGCCATCGCGGAGTGCTAATGAGATTCGATTAGTTTTTCTTTGAGCGGCACTTACCTTGCTCCCTATTCTATAGCCCAACCGTAGTTTGATCGCTATTGCGCTTCGAGTTATCGGCAAAATGTTTCTACAAGATATACTTATCCTTTTACTCATTAATTTGTCAATAACGTTAGCCCTCCTTGGCGTATAGGTCGCTCCGATGTGTAATCCGAGTGATTCTTTTTTTTTCTTCTCGCCATGATCGTTAATATGTGTCTGCGTCTTAATCAATCGTCCGCAATTATACGAGTACGCATATAATTATGTAGCTAAACCGTTTACTGTTGATTTGCGTGTGATCAACTGATTACGCGTCAGATAGAAAATCAAGCTAAAAGTATCAAAATATCGAAGCTTTGATTTCAACTTATCTTTTTCAATAATAATTCACATAAACAAGTGTTACATTTCATCGTGATGAATATTCTTCTTGGTGATTTTTACACCATCCAACGATTATTTTAACATAAGCGCAATTACTTTCAAAGCACATTTTGCCACAATGATAACGCATGTGTAATCCCGCAGTCGCTTTGCATAAGATTATACGACGGCACAAATACGTTATCAAGGAATGTTCGATGTATCTATAATTGCGTGTTTTTGTTTTTCATTTAGATTAGATTTACTTTAGTATGTTTGCAGTGAGGAATTGTCAGAAACATTTTTTTTCGACCGAACGTATTTTATTCTGTGCGGTAAATAATTTCATACATATATTTAATAGATACATTATTTTCGAGATATCATAATGTTTGGGTAAATAAGTTAATAACTCAATAGTGTGCTTCAGAAATGAATTTTGATCAAATAGGACAATACTTGTAAATTGTCATTGTCAGCAAAGTCAGGTTTTTAAAATACCGACTTTATAACGTTGTCAGCATTTTCCGCAAAAGAGTTACCGATTTTTGCGAAGTGGTAAAAAAAAAAATCGATACGGACAAAGACAGCGAGCGCGCGTATTTTTTGCCGATCGGAATGATAATTTTTACACATGGACAATCTGCAATGTCGACCACTTTCCCCGCGCGACGCGAAAATTTCAATTTTGAGTCAAGCATCCCTTGAAGTAATTTCGAAAGCGTTTCCCTCCCTAATATCCATCATTTATTTTCCAATCGCATTGCGTATAACGCATTCTCCCCGTCGGGCCCCACCGCACGGCCCAAGTGGTATAGCTACTCCTCTCCCGTCTGCAAAGAGTAAAAACAACACCGACGCGTAAAATTAATATCAAAGTCACCGTGACTTGTACGTACACTTCGTTTCGCCATACTGATGATTACGCGCTCGGCTTCCGCGTCAACTGCAACCGGGTACATAAGTATTAATGACAAGCGCGAACATAACTTTACTACCGCGCAAAATTGCCAGGCTCGTTCGTAATCGCTCGCCGATTTACTTTCCCGAGCACCCCTGTACACCAACCGCGCGGCTCACGGGCTTCGTAAATTCAAATTCACGCGTATAGCAGGGAGGACAGCCGCCAAAGGACCATATCTCGCATAATGTCGCAGCATCCCACTCTTCTTCTTTTTTTTTTTTTTTCCTCATATTATCGCAGACGCACTTGCGCATCTGTGGGCGCAGTCACGCCGGTCCCTCCCCCGACTCGGCTCTTATTTTAGACCAAGCACTTGTATACTCGACACGCACATTTGTGGCCGCGAGCGTGTCTCTCCTCGCCAATATACAGGCAGCCGCGTGTGTTATTCAGCTCGTCGTTTCTGCGTAGCTGACCACCCAATGTACAAACCATGTAATAATTGATTAATCACTCGACGGCTCGCGAGTTCGTGTATATATGCATGTTATAATATCGCGATCGACGACAAAAGTGGACGAGAGAGAGCGGCTGATGTGATTATTGAGCGCAGGCCGAGCAAGTAGTCCTGGAGATGAGCGAAGCGAACGGCCGGCCGGCCGATTCAGTGGCTATAGACATCGCGGGGGAGGAGTCGCGGGGAGTCGATCTGGAGCCTGAGGAGCCATCCGCAGTGGCGGTGGTAATTGAACGGATGACCGAAGGTAAGCATCGCTTGTATACATATACATTATGGACTATGCACACGTTTGCTCGCTTTAATTTTATGTATATATGTGTAAGTACTTCGAGTTGTGTAACCTTCGCTTGTTTGGATACGTCGTTGGCGAGAGTTGCCGTGCAAATTAATTATTGAGTGTGACTGTCTAATCGAGCGCCTGTTACAGAGTCATATTTTTGTTATTTTGTTGTGGGTTCATTGTCAAGATTACCCATTTGGGAATTAATTTTAAGCGTAAAAACTATGTAAGAATTCAATTTGGCAATTAAAAAATGGCAATTTTTTTTAGTCGATTGTTGAACAGTTCTATGAATGTGATTTAGAGAAATTCCTTGCTTGAAAATGAATAAATAATTTAAATATAACCAACTGTTTTTCAAAGTGGCAGCAACACAGGACTTTGTTGTTTTGTTGTTATTTAAATTCCAGCATATTTACTGAAACGACTTAACTTTATTGGAAACACGAATGGAAAATGTTGTCAATGTTCTCGTTGTCTGTTCGAAAAAAATAATCGTCTACAGTTGTTTTTATTTATTTTTTGTTAACCTGAATATGTTTGTATGAAGAAAAAAAAAATTCTGATTGGAATGCTCTTTGCATAACTGGAACTGCTGGTTTTTAAAAAAAAAACCAAGTGGTTATAATAGAGTCGATATCGAATGGCTTTTTTTAAGCGCAATCCACTTATACTCCATAAAATTAAGTAAAAATTATTAGTCTGCAAATAAAAACATGTCGTAAATTAGATATCCCCGAAAAAAGATACAAGTTCAAGAACTTCTACAAAAAAAAGTTTAATTTTAATGTCTAATAAATATATAAAATGTATTGATGATAATCGAATCGTAAAAAATCGGATCTTGCGTTCGTAAGAATTCACATAAAATTGAATACAAAAAAATCTTGGGATATTTTACAAAAATATTAGATTTTTTTGAGTCGACAATTTCCGAAATTAAACTAATAAACGGTTGAAACAATTAGGTCGGATGGGAGCTCATTTGTTTTGTTTTTGTACTGCGTAATTTTTATGTAAACCTTTTTTACAAACTTGAGTTTTTCTTTTAGATGCAAAAAATTGAAAGTTTTTTTCCACTTCTGCCATTCCTACCATTTTTTACTGATACTCATGATAACTTTAAACCCAAGAATCAACTAAGTGCATAAGTTTTTTTTATTAAAAATTTTAATTTTGTCGTCAAAATATGATTCATTCGTCGGCCAAAAAAATGCCATTTTTAAAAAATTTACCTTCACGTATGCAAAGTATAGATCATGATTGTCGACAACTATATAATTTAACAAAATTCCGGTACTTTTTTAGTAAGTAATAGATTCTGCTTAATGACATATATGTCTCAACCAAGAAAAGGGTATCTGACCCTTTTTTCACTAATCTGAAAAATAAATAAATAAATTATATGTATGTATGTATGATTACCACGATTTTAATAATTACGTTCTGGCGTTAGCTAAGTCATCAATATCAATTATTTTTAAAACTATATCACGTATCATACCGATTTTTCCGATAAAAAATACTTCCTCGTCATTTGTACAATCATACTTTTGTACACTCCTTAATTGCACCAATATAATTGACTATACGTATTTTGTCATAAGTGCGCCTTGCGATATTCATTAGATCACTACAGTCGGTGTTTAACCAACTTTGACTGATGGTTTAGTCTCTGCTACCGAATAATCAGTAAAGTGACACGTTGTCACGTTGCAAGTGTACACTAAGATTTTTACTATAAACCCTGATTGTTTCATCAACTTTTCGACAACGCTGAAGGGGTGCTAGATTCGCGAGAAAAAGTAAGTTTGATTTGTACGTAATATTGTGATGTCTGTTATTACGATGGATACGTCATAAAAAGTAAACCTTAAATTCTCTCCTTGTTCTGAAAATAGACCAAGTAAATCAAACGCAAGTTAGAAAATCTGGATACAAAAAAATCATTAGATATTTGTAGAAAATCGGTAGTACTACAGTGAATCAATATTCACAATAGTATCTCACACAAACGGTACGACTTTTATAAAAATAAGTATTTTTGCGTTCGTCAAAATCTTACGCGGTACTCATTACATTTCTTTTTTTATAAGCTTATAGTCATTTTGTTCTTCTTGCCAAATCATGTGACGTTTTCCAAACCTCAATTATTCACCATGACGAATAAAGTAATATACGGACATACGTCATGTATTAGTTAAGCGCGGCTTATTAATCCAATAAACTAATTAACCTATAATAATCATCCGACTTCTAAGGTAATGAATGAAATTTCCTGAAAAATTATTGAATCCATCACTTATGAAACTTACTTTTTTATTGTTACTAGTAGGAAGTGAAACAATAATAAGAGGATAGACGAGAAATATGAACTGTATTGCTATACTTTTTACTCGACTTGGTGTTGTTTACAACAAACGCCACTGTTGTGTATACTAGGAGTTGCAAAACTTTGAAATGACGCACGTAAAATAAAACGGTAGAACTTTGAGATGATCTTTATCAGAGGGAAAAAAGTTTATACTGATTCGAAACCAACTATCGCGAGTTCCACCTAGTAAATTTTTTTGTAGCTACATTTAGTATAATAAGTGCAAAGGCAAGAGATGATTGCAGTCCTGGGCGCTTTTGTCCCGTACCGCAAACCCATGATTTGCATTTTGTACGCGGCACTGCGGCTGCTGCTGTTTTTAGATAGCCGTCAGTAAGCAAAAGGCCGCTCTGCGAGAATAATACTTTCAAGGATAATTCTAGCACTCACGCAATCAGCTGTTTTTTAATGTTTTTTTGTTTTTTATTTCTGAAGTACTCAATATTCTGTTAATCATCGGGATCTTTTTTCTTCTATCAGAAAATAGGTATGAGTATTCGACAGTATTTGCGCGTCAAATAGCTACTTGAAGTTGGAAGCTTCTTATCGCGCTTGGAATGGTATTTGTTTCAGATAAGTGAGGTAATTATTTTTTTTAATCACTAACCAATTACTATTTATTTTTTTGAATATAGTAATGTCTCGCTCTTCTGGAATCACATTTCGATCTACATTTTTTGCGATTGAAAACTTTAGATTCCAGGTAGCTCAAAAATTAAATATTGATCGTATAAGTAGCTCAACCCGTGTCGATGGTGCTTACTTGGTTTTTTCTAAGGAAACGTAAAATTAATGTCAAGAGAAAAAGATTTCCAGTAAAGTACTTTAATCTATGGTTTTTGTAGAAAAATTTGTAGGACAAAAAGTAATCTTCTGATCTAAAGTTACGAAAAACTATTAAAATTTAACGAAAAATAAGATTGGTTTGTTCGTATAACTTTTAACTCAAATAATATTTCAAAACCCAAGTTTTATTTACAACCTTTTCCGACGCGCTTAATTTAAAGTGAGTTCGACCAACCATTGCTGAAAAAAACCTATTGTTTTCTCACGTGGTGAAATAATTTCTTCGTCCTTTCGTGAATGCATTGTATTCGATCATCTATACGTATACCCTTTATAGGAGCCGGACGTAGAGCACTAAAATATAAAAAATAAAAAAAATCTATAGGTATATGACTTTAGACTCTCTTCTAATACAAAAACTCACATATCGAGGTGTCGCCGAGTGCTATACTCGTACATAACAATTTTGTCGCTACGGCCATTATTTAATCACCGTATTCTCGTCTACTTTGAGTCAGCAACTTTCCTTAGGACATACACATTACGAAAAGACCAAAGTCACCAAAGGTTTTCTTATGTACTTGCATATTACGTACGATCAAATAAACGACACAACCCCGCGGCACGAAAGATTCGATCCTCCGTCAACGAGGAGTAGGTATATGGTTAACTTATGTTCACGAGCCATCAGTGGTATGAATAATGAATAATCGCCCGACACGTGAGCTCTAGCTGGTTTACCTTCGTGTCATCTCCTATTTAAGGCCGCTAACAAGACTAACACTCTTGTCTCCTCTGAAACTTTAATGAAGGATCGGAGCATATAACGTACTTGAGTCGTAAACTACGTCTTCGAGCCGGTACAGTAATAGCTCAGGGGTTGCTGTGTAAGTACAAGGAGCTGAGTCAGACGAGCGTGGAAAGTCGAACTGTTCGGTCGGTGTTTGGATAAAAATAATTGATCCGTCTCGATTTACTTGTGCCTTTTTTTTCACGCAATTTTAATTTATTTTATATGAAAACAAAAAAATAGTAGTGCTCGAGTGTAATGCTTTGTGATGAGGAGTAATCGAATAAACAGCTCATTATTTTTTATGCTTTATTGTATAAAAAATTTATAGCGAAGTTATTTTATGATTAAAACTGTGAATTATACTTCTCATCAGCTATAATAGATAAAGTGTTTAATTAATAAGTAAACAAATAAAGGAATGAAAATTCCTATGAGTTTCGATCGTATCATTTATGTGCGTCATGCAGTACATCGTAAAGTACCGTGTTTAATTAACTACCGTACGGATTAAAATTATTTTTGATTAATTTTGAGAAAAAGTGCACCTATAGCCATTGAAAATTACATCTACGTATTGTATACCATTTTTGTTCGTTGTTCATCGGATAAACCGTGTGTAAGTAAATGTATTTAGTTAGTTGAGCAAATGGCTAAGTTATGCAGAGCCATTAGCGAAAGTTAAGCACTTAAAAATAAAGTCAAATGTGTGATTTGCAGATTAAAAATCAGCTCATTGAAGCAAAGATGACAAAGTTGTTTGAGCAAGACGCGGAGTATAATGGAGACGCGGTAAAAATTCAAGTAGAGCCCGCCAATGTATCATCACGTTACAATGGCAATGGTATACAAATATGGTTTAATTAAATTTATATACTTTAAGTGTTCATAGTAGACAACACAATTTGTGCAAGTTTAATGTTTCAAAAATTCTTTAACACATCCGAAATTTGCCAAGAAAATTTAAATAAAAAATCTTGTAGTGTTAAAAAAACTTGAGGTATGTTAAAATTTCAAATAAAATGAAGTTTTGCCGAGTTACCATCGGAAAATAGAGTAGGTATTAAAAGTAAAACTCTCAAGGAGTATTCTCGCGACCTCTTTCGCGTCGTTTGGTTACTAGCTCCAGCATCATAAAATTTAATCTTCTCTTTCTCCTGCTTCTTCTTTCGGACAACTCACTAAGAAAAATAACATCCAATAGACTGTAGTGCACCGACCCCCTTCTATGCACCCACACACGGGAGGCACAGAAGGCCTAGTATACTCTGTCAAAACAAAACATTGCCATAGTAATGTAGCACAGAAAGAAAATACTTATAAGCTGTAAGGATTACATGTAGTTGGCAGGCCGGTGACGCACTATTACAGTTATAGTCCGAACGAGGAAAGAAGAATAAAAATCGTATCTCGAGTGGTGGGCAGATAAACAGTGTAGCAGCTGCATAGCGGCTATAAACGCAAGATAAGTATGTGATATCCAGAAAAAAAATCGAGGAAACTTTGGAGCAACTCGCATCTATTCCAGTCTCGGTCAGTATAATATCAGCTGTACCCGCAGCAGTATACCCTCTCAGTTACTCTTTTGCTCCGCATTTTAGTAGAATCGTATCCATACATATATTTTAGTCATCAGGTGACTTGTGATCTTATATACTCACCTGTACTCAAACACATTATACCAGCAGTAAGTGTAACACCCTTTTTCACTTTATTTTTTAGATAAGTGCGAGCATTTTTTATTCTATTGTGCATTATATTTTTACTAGAGCAAAAGTTTTTATCCGATTGGCCGTACATTTTAAGGATACTTTCGTTTTTATACCGTAACGTGATACTTTATAGCCAATCGAAAGAAAAAATAGTTTAGCGCCAAAATAATAGAAATTATATGCTGAAAATAAGATTGGTTTAACCTTCAAGATGAATATTATGTGTGTATGTGCGCGCGTTTGTGTGCGAGTGTGGGTTTACTTGGGATCGAGAAATATTGGTTGTAGATCTTTTACGTAGGATCGGCTTTTTGGCTCGTCCGTTATTACCTTTAATTTCATCCTGATGATTGTCTTTTAGAGGAAAAAAGTTTATAGACAGCAGAAATTCGTTTATTGACTATTACAGTATAAACTTTTTTGTACATAAGAAATACTTTTATCATTAAAAAAATCAAATAATAGTCCAAAGTCAGTCTAAGTTTTAATCGACACAATTAGAAGTTTGACATTTTAGATTAAAATGCACAACATCCAACAATAAAATAATATTTAATGACAATACTAAAGAATATATTAATGGCTAAAAGACGTAAATGTAACTCGTTAAGATGTATAGCAGCATCAATCACGTACCACAATTAGACTTTTTTCCTTCTGGTAACTATTGCGATAGTTGCATCTCATAAGGAAACTGAAACGTAGTTTTTTGCGTAGATGCAGTCGCTCGTTTTTTTAAATTCTTCTCTGCTGCTAGTAGAATTTTTTTTTTTTTCAATTATTTATTTTTTATTTTTTCCCTAGTCTGATTACTGTTATCAAAATAATTCAGACATACTTGTAAAAAATAGTTGACCGTCTAAGAAAAACACGTAGGTACACTTAAATGTTTGGTGCGATATTTGTATGTGTGTGTTTCGGAAAATTATAAAGTTGCATTAGATTTTCACTGGCACTTGTCTACGTGACTAGTATTTTAGAAGCAACGTGTATCCGTATGTTACTAACAGTTCACGATAGTAGTTTACATATTTATATAGGTACAATAATGCAAGTACTTATATTAATGAGCAGTAGACTTTCTCTCTATACATAATATGATTTATTTGTCTTTCTACACTTGTATTGGTGAATAGTCTCTCTGACGATACACGTCTACAGCTTCTTTTTCATGATTTAGCTAACGTCACAGCGATGATCATACGAATAATTATCTAACTACTAAAACAGTTTTTACCATTTTTCTCGTCACCAAAGATAGCTCCCACAATCTAACGATGCCACGAAACAACACCTTCATACCTCGAAACCGGTATTACTTGCTTTCGACCCCTCCCTCCTTTTTACCGCCTGTCTTTTTAGTTGCTTCGATCAAGTTTACCACAATGCATTGCAACTTTGGTATTTTTCTTTGTATCTTCCTAAAAGTATTCCTTATTTGCGCAAAATTGAAGTACTTGACCTTACCTAGCATGGAACTTAATTCAGCCATTAGATGTAAAAAATACCAAATTCAACTTGATGCACCCGCTCAATTTGATTTATTATAGGGATACACACAGTAGTTTATAGGGATACATGAAGTTAAATTTTGTATTTTACGGTATTTATAGCGGCGGAGATTTGGCAGCTAAATTTAGTTTTATTGATCTTCTGATTATCGATACCTTTTTTTTTATTACGTAAAGTTGTTTTCACGCTTTACTTACAATAAATTTATGACTCTGAAATAAATGGGTGATAAAAAATTTTTTTATCAATTTTATCGAGTTTTACTTTTTTTTTTTATTAATTTTTCTCATAGTTTCTAACACCATTGCATTGTATTTTTTATTGTCTTTAAAATAATTTAATTAAATTAGTAGTCGTACCAGGAAAAAACTTATCATAAATGAATTATGTACTATTATTTTAACTTATCGCTTGCTCGTTATTAAATTCCAGTTCCTACCAACGGCAAAGACATGTCCAACTATGCAGATGTAAGCTGAAAAACCATTTAATTTAATTTAAAATTTCTCTACTGTTTTTCGCATTAAAATAATACTTTAATTTTAGGTGGTTCAGTCTGCGAGGGAAACTTTTTATGGAGGAAAAACTCGTCCACTGGAATTCAGAATCAAACAACTTAAATTACTGCAAAAAATGTTGGCCGAACATCGAGCCGAGTGGAACGCAGCATTAAACGCAGATTTGCGAAGAGTAAATATTCCATGAAACATCCTCTTTTCTGAAAGCAATCATAATTAATTGCCTTGATGAATTATTTTCAGAGTAAATTTGAAAATTCGGTCCTTGAGATTGATTACACCATCAATGAGATCAAACATATGCTGATGCACATTAAGGAGTGGTCTGCTCCAGAAAGAGTAAATTAATAGTTTTAAAAAAAGTCGAAAGTAAAATGTCGAACGTTACACATTATAAATTTTTCATTATAGCCACATAAAACGTTTGTTAATATGTTGGATGGTGTTGTTATACACAAAGAGCCATATGGTGTCGTCTTGGTGATTGGTGCTTGGAACTATCCTTTGCAGTTGACAATTGCGCCGTTTATGGGAGCAATTGCTGCTGGAAACTGTGTGATACTAAAACCATCTGAAGTGTCAGTAGCAACTGCTAAATTAATAAGCGAACTTGTTCCAAAGTATTTAGATAACGTACGTATTAAAATTCATCTGATACTCGAATTTCGATAAACATGCATTTATTAAATTTCAATATTCTCAGGAATGCTACAAGGTTGTTTGTGGTGGTGTAAATGAAACCAGTGAGTTATTAAAACAAAAATTTGATTATATTTTTTATACTGGTTCAACAACAGTGGGACGCATTGTACGTGATGCGGCAAATAAATTTCTTACTCCGGTGACGTTAGAACTTGGTGGAAAAAGGTACTTGTAGTAAAAATTCCCCGTTTGTCAAATACTAGTTAAAATTTATAACGTCGTATTTAAATTTTCATTATTAGCCCTGTCTACATTGATAATACTGCAGATATTAATATTACAACCAAACGAGTTTTGTGGGGAAAATTTATCAACGTTGGTCAAACTTGCATAGCACCTGACTACATAATGTGTACAACAGAAGTCCAAAGTGCATTTATTAAGGAAGCAAAAAAAGTTTTAAAAGAATGGTATGGCGATAATCCACAACAGAGTCCAGATCTTTGTCGGATTGTGAGCGATAAGCATTATCAGTAAGACTTTATTGAAACAAACACATTTAATTTAATGTAAAAGAAAGAAAATGTTTTAAATTAAATTTTTTGTCTTCAGACGTTTGGTAAACTTTTTATCCAATGGAGAGGTAGCATTAGGAGGACAAGTTGATTCTGCTGATAAATACATTGCACCAACAATTCTTGTGAATGTTAGGCCCACCGATCCAGTTATGAAAGAAGAGATTTTTGGACCAATACTACCTATTATAACTGTCAGTAATGCTTATGAAGCAATAAAGTTTATCAATGAGCGGTAAGTTATAACAAGTAATTCAACATTTTTTAACGTTCAGATAAATCTAGAATTTCTGTATGTGGTAAAATTTGAGTAGTACTACCAATTTTTTAATATTTAATTTTAAACTAATGTAAATTTAATTTGATGTACGAAAGTGGTTCAGACATTTTTTTACGTCAATATCCTAATTTTTTTTTTTTATGTGATTTTCTTCAAACTAAATTCTTTTTTCGATTAAATTAATTTTACATTGTCAATGATTAATTAAATGAAGGAGATTGACGGTTTTACTGCTCCCCAAGATGCCAACTAAAATTAATTTTCTGTAATATAGTGACTCTCCCCTCACATTGTACATTTTTTCCAAGGATACAAACGTACAAAATCTGTTCATAAAACAAACTCAGTCTGGGTCTGTGTGTGTCAACGATACAATAATGCAGTATGGGGGTGAGTTAGGCAATACTCGTCTCTGGTGATTGCGTAGTGTAGTCATTCTACAATAAATTTTGTTCGTTTGAGCCTGTTTGCATAAGCTTTACAGTAGCATAAGTATATGCTATATTATATGTAAGGAGAGGGGCGCGCTTGGATCACTAGTCAATCGACCTATGTATCTAGTCTTGAACGTATCTAATAATTAAGTTCTACCTCTAAAACCATTAAAATACAACGTTAATAACCCATTTACAGCTTTTTGTTCTCATGCGACGTTACTTAAAATCTTCTAGACCAACTCATTTTCAAGTAATCTAGAAAAAAGTATTTAAAATTTTTCCTGCTTGCTACTGATTTTGTAAATTTTATCTGTATTGCTAAATTGTGTATTACTTTAGTTATGAATATACTTAGGCTACGGGACATTTGGTGATAGTTTTTCTGTAATCAATTGATTTTTCTATTCGTTTGGATGTGGTGGTATTGGTAATAATTCGTTTAAATTAAATGTAGCTACATTAAATCAAAGTATAACTGTGGTAGTCCCAATTGGTATATAAGCTATTACAATGATTGCATATGTACATAATTATGTTAATTGCATGTTTGCTTGTACTTTGATACAGTGATAAACCTTTAGCCCTCTATCTCTTTGGTTCCGATATGGATGAGCTTAATCTGATAATAAATGATACATCTAGTGGCAATATTTTGGTTAACGACACTATGTTGCACGCGCTAGGTAAGCTTCCATCGAAATCTAATTTTATGTACATAGAAAATATGCATAAGCACATTGTGTACCAAGCTTTACTTTGAAAACCATTGCCTGCTTATTAACGCATGCACCATCTTTAATTAAATTAAATTTAAGTATATCATATCGTGGGTGTGTGTTATAAATTTAATTAAAATTATTCGTGAATATTCAATTTTTGTCACATTGCATTGAGTTGCATGCCTGAGTGTCATCAAGCGTCACGATTTCTGAACTTTTACAGTTGATACTTTGCCGTTTGGTGGTATTGGAGCCTCAGGAATGGGCGCCTATCACGGAAAACTTTCGTACGACACGTTCGTTCATCCGAAGGGCTGCCTAATTAAAAATTTTAACATCATCGGAGAAACGTTGGCATCGTAAGTACGATTTGCATGTAATAAAAAATTCATCGAGAAAGTGAGAAAAATTACTCATAACTATGTCAGCACTTTCAAGATTTATACCAAAACATAAATATTTGTCATTGCAGTTCCCGGTACCCTCCGTACTCGGATGGAAAATTAAAATTCCTGTCACTGTTGATGGCCAAGAGGCCCGACATTCCAGGAATAAAATATCTGCCGCATCTGATAATGTTTGGCTTAGGCGTTGCTGTCACTCTGGGCCTCAAAACTTTTCTGAAGGTACACAAAGCCGGAACACGATAGACGTTACTTTTATCATTACATACAGTCAATTGCAATGCCAATTTTATAAAGCACAAATTACGTTATGCCTATAATGTGATAAAAAACTCATACTTTGGTATGAAAGCATGACAAAAGATTTTTATACTTGATTTATGTCAATTTTGTGGTTTTCATAGTATAATTATGTTTTAAAAAAAAGTTTTATGCGTACAATTGTTAAATTTTATTTACAAATACGTTACAGTTAAAATATTTATAGAATTGGTTTGTTAATCAATCGTTTTTAATACAATGCACAAACGTATGACACACATCCAAAGTGTCTGTAATTTTTCAAATTTAAAAAATAAACTATCAAATCAGCCATTGTATTTGCTTCATTCATTTTTATTTAAAAATGCCACATTAAAAAAAAAACGCATTTGCGTTATGTTTCCAGGGAACTTCTTACGCCGATGAGCCGTGATATCTCAGTTGGGATTGTACTCACATTCCACACAGTACACCAAATAAAAAAAAAATATATATATATTTTTATGGAAGCAAGACAAATAAGTTTTCTGAAAAATTTTCAACGAACGTTGGTCATTAATTGTTATCTGAGAGCACCCAAGTCTTATTAGTCTTTCACTCGATCTACAATCTAATAAATACCATATTTATGTGATTTTTCTTGTTTAATATAATTATTTAACTTTAATTTAGGATTTTTTCTTGGATATTATTAATAATAAATTTTCATTAGTAAAACTATTGTTAAATTTTTATGTAGTTTAACCGCAGTTTAGATTTTGGAAATTTTTTTATTAAGAGCATTTTTAATATTTTATGTAATTTGCTTAGGCTTGTAGTATATTTGTGATTTAATATATTGTTTTTGATGAACTGTAAAACTTGAAGAAACTGTATACTGCAAATAAAATTCAAACGTCTTTGGAATATAATAAAATCACGCAAATCGTATAAATAATGTATATATTTTGCATCTTTGTATAACGAATGTTATTGATAAAGTTATGTACACTTATATGTTATATATTAGATGTATATTTGTTTAAAAAATGCATTGAATCTTTTTACTTTTCACCTTTGATGCTCCTCTTCAAAAGTGCTTAGATGAATTAATTTATAAAAAACGAATTTCAAACTAAAATAACGTATAACTTTACTATAACTATAAATCCGTTTGTCTTTCATTCCGCGAGTAATTAAGTAAATACAAAATAATGCATATTGTATTCATATAGAAGTTCTCGGGAATTCCTTACGTATTTTACTAAACTTTTCAGAATGTATATCTAGCAAAAAATTACTCCTCTTCAGAAGCATATTACTAATCCTTCAAATAAATTCAAAAAATATAAAATATAAAAGAGTAAACTATATGTTACAAAAATTTCACTACTTGTAGGTTGCATATAAATACTTCTCAGGAATAAGTGAGTAATGATTATAAATAGAATAACTTTAATATACGTGATTCAGACAACTTAAAAAAAAGTAAAAATATATAACCAATAATCTATTTATAAATTTGTTATACTGAAACGAACGTCGTATCTTGAAAAAGAAACTGAAATCGGTATAATCTTTTTGCATACTTTATATATTTTTATAAACCATGTATTATCATTCTTATAACATTTAAAAAATTGCGGACATCGGTATAAAAATTTACCATACTATTACACTACTATATTGTTGTTGATTGAAAGCTGCTATGCAATTTTTGAGTCAATCGATCCACATTGTACAATTAACTGAAATATTAACCGTTTTTTGCTGTAGCTTTTAAAATAATTTAAAATGACGTCTTGTAAAAGATGATTGAATTTGATTAATTTTGGCACTTTAGCATGCATTATTTAGTTTGTTCTGTCAAATAGGTAATACATTTCCACACTAATGGCGCGTTCGAATAAGGAACTTAATTATACATGCAGAGGCTGATGATTACTGTCTATAATTTGGTATATAAGAGAGGGAGAGCACAAATTAAAGGAAAAAAAATATGTCACTGGCGTATAATTTTATTTAATTCTCATTTGCATGGGCCTACACCCACAAAAACTTGCCTCAAACAACTCATATAATTCGTAGTATTTAGCGATAGCGAGCAGAGAAAACAAAAACGTAAACAATCCACGGAAAATATGATCGAGTGGTGAGCAACAAAAAATTAAACAGAAACAATTGGTGCCACGCTCACTCGTACAACTGCGCACAGAAAATTCCAATCAGTAAGACTGTTTCCAATTTCTTTTTTCTCACACGATAAAATTTTAATCAATCGGAGCCCACTATCATCAATAATACTATTATTACTCTCATAATGTCCACCCGAGTAAGCACCTCAGATTCATTAAAAAGAAACTGATCTTTTACTAACATAATAGTAACTGTATAAGGAAGAATGAATTTAAAAACTCTACAATTTGGTATATTTTCGTGAATTTTGAAGGCGACCCGCACTATTAAGACAAGAAGGAATTATTTACGTCGTCTTCTTCTTTTGATATTGGTTGATAGCTCTCAAAAGAACAGCTTCCCACTTCTTGGGCTCCTTTTGCGTATAATGCAACACGATTTTCTCGAAGCTTATCTTTTGCTTCTCCGTACACCATCTGCACTTTGTGACAATTGCCTCTGGAAACTTATCTGCAATTAAAAAGATTTAATTTTATAAAATCGCGCATCACTTTTTAAATATTGTTAAAAAACACATGATTTTAATAATGGGAAAAAAAAATCGCGCATCCGCTTAGGCTAAATGGCGGAGAGATGTTTTTAAATAAAATTACCATTTTAATAAGCTTTGAGCCCGTATAAAATTATTGAGATGACGATGCATAATGTATTTTGAGTAAACAATTTTTTTAATTTTGGTCGAAGATAAAACTTTTTTTTTTAATAAGACCCTATTGGCAACTAAATCTCTTGTGCAGGTTTACAACCAACAAAATACATTAATTCAACAATGTGCAGTATTTTTAGGTGTAATAGTGCTTTTAAAAGCAACGATAATAAGAAAAGCTACAATTAATGCAAATATTTTTACATTGCGCACGACTAATTTTAATCAGTAATAAATAAATCGCGTACATTACGAATACCATTTTTCAGTTATTTTAATTAAAAGTCAATTAAACTCACGATGTTCGCATGCAATAAATTTTTTTACCAAAACCATGGAGTATCTCCAAGAATTTAGTTATACGTTTTATTAATGTTTCTCAAAACCGCAAACAAAATAATCAGCTTCAACCTCTCGGTATTAGATCCGCGATAGATCACTAAAATTAGATAACTTATTTATATTTTCACAACATTCGTGTGAAATATAGTTGATAAACGAATAGTTAAAACAAAAGTGCCAATTGAACTCGAGTGCACGTATGGTTGGAACAACGCGTGGGCGTACCTTTGAAGAACTTGGCGTCGGGAGTGTAACAGGGGGCGGCATCCAAAAAACAGTTGTAGTACTGCTCGCGGATGCGATCGTTGCCGAGGATCTGGTCGACGTCAACGTAATCGTACTTGTCGGAGTAAATTTCCTGATCAGCGAGGGCAGCGCTGACCAGCGTGCAGAGCACCACGAACAGTCCCAATGCCCGCCTCATTTTGAGACGATGTCCAGAGATACTCGAGCGACGACTACGACAACGACGAGACCGTACCGATTGTCGCTGCTATCCGATCGCGAGTGCCTTTTTATATGGCGTTCCGACTCATTGGCGTCTTTTTTACGTCACCCTGCCGGTTGTCCACCACCGATCTCCTTACCTTTCCACTCGATTCTTCCTTTTTTTTTCATTCCCCTCCAAGCCTCGCGTGGTAGAAGGCTCCTCAAGTTTTTGCACACACGCATCTGACATTGGATGAGACCCAGTCAATGTCAGGTGCGTGAGCTCAAACATTCATACACCGCCTTCCGCAGTGCTAGTGCCAAGGACACGTGTTTCGCGCCGATCGCGGAACTTGTGTATACATGCTATGGCCGATGACCGATAAATCGGCTCGCGTATGGCCGAGACTTTCCAAACTAGTTTATTTTGATCGGAGGGCAGAAAAATCGCTAAAAAACGTCATTACTCTAATCGATGGAATCTTTCGTTGGAATAATAATCATAAAGTAAAACTACCGATTTTGCAATATCATTTCCAATACAGAGTGATGAACGTTGAACATCGCCGCGTCTTTTCTTAACACATTGAACAACTTTTGTTTTTTCATTCAAACGTTATGTAACTCTTTGCGAGATTGAACTCATGAATTTTGCGAAATTGATTCATGCAAATCTATCTCAATTATGAAATCCTTTTGGTGGGTCGGAAAAATTTTCTAAGCAATGATTAACGAGCTTCAGTCCCCATAATTGCCCATAAAACAATCAATCTACTTTTTTTTTCTATCGATACAAGTTATGACGATATCACAGGGATTATATCATTGGGATATAATTTGTTTTCGTGCTCACAATTACATAATGCGACGCTGATTCAGCCACACGAGTATATTTGTTGATCGAATATTATTTTTTTTTTTTTTTTGGGAAACAAATTATTCTACTTTTTTTTTCTTCCATGTCTCTTATACACTTGTAACTGTTGGAAAAAAAAGAGTAGCAACCAAAAATGAATGCATGTCAAGCCGTGAACAATTATTCTTAATACTAAAAAAAAAAAAAAAAAAAAACAAGTACGTGATGAGCAATAAATTAACACCTACGAACCGGTCAAGTCTCACTCAAAATTCTCCATTGGCCGCGGGTGTTTACATAGCTTTGCATTGTATTAATGTACACTTTTGTGAGACCATAAAAGTTAAATTATCTTCGTGGAACTGGAAACAAAACTTTTTTATTGAAAAGTTAAGTAGTAAAATTTCTCAAGGATTCACGAGTCGGTAACCCCTGCAACTTTGTCACCTCTGTACGAGTGCGAGGACTCGGCTCAACGAACCAAACTCGTAAATTCAGAGTACCACTGTGTTGTACTCCCTCTAGCTCCAACTCGCATGAAATTCAACCTGCTACACGCCAAATCTCCGGTTGTGTCCCAACTTTTCCCGAAAAAACTTGACATATATACCCACGCATCATGAGTATACATTAGTTGGCAGAAAGTCACACGTTGTACCGGTTGCATAACTTACCGACCAAATGATTCCCGTGGAATGATCCATCATCAAAATGTCCGTGTGTTTAAGACGCATGACACTCGCTTCCTCGGCAATCACGCCCCAAACATCCGTAATCCATAAATAGTCCAGTGGCCGGAGGGTACGAGCTTCATTGGAGAGCCAAACAGTGCGACAGCCGCACCATGACTTTGACAACGAGACTACTAATCACCGTGACCATGGCAACTATAGCCCTTGCCCAGCAAAGGTACGAAAGCACCTACGACGATCTCGACGTGGGGACTATCCTCGGCAACTCGGATCTCCGTGAGAGCTACTACGCCTGCTTCATGGACACCGCGCCCTGCCCCACCGATGCCGCCGTCTTCTTCAAAAGTACGTATATGGGATAATCCTTCCAAGTGTTCCCTTCGCCCGAATATTTCAGTGACAGATGTTTCCTTTCTTTAGGTAAGGCCCCCGAGGCGTTCGTTGCCTCCTGCAAGTATTGCACGGACAAGCAGCTGATCATGTTCGAAAAGATCATCAGCTGGTACGTGAACAACAGCCCCGACCAGTGGAACAGTTTGGTCGAAAAGACCATTCAAGACGCGAAAAGCCAAGGACTCCAGTTCCGATGACGAGAAAACACCCGAAGCTTTCGACACTCTGATATATCGTCAAATTGTAAAATTTCGTTTTTTAAAAGCATCTTCCAACTTGTGTAATGTACGATATGGGGTTGCGTGGGTGAAATAAATGAAAAATGTCGACAAAAATAAGCAGGAGACCTTGTGCGCGCGCACCCATTGATTTAGCAGATAATACGCAGTGGGAGAGACAAATTCGAGCTTTCCAGCGGATATAAGTAAACACACACGTCTATGTTTGCGTTTCTTCGAAGCCTCGTCCCGGTGCTCTTCTATAATGACGGTAATGCTCTATCATCATCTTCTCCTTCTTCTGTGCTTCTTGACTCTGAAATATGCAAATTTATCGATTTCCGTCGGCGCAAAGACTCAAAACCGCCTGAGCTGGTTCAACTGCGTATCTGTTTCGATGGCAGGAAGCCGCGCGTGAATGTGAGAAAAAAAAAAAAAAAAAAAAAAAAAAAAAAAAAAAAAAAAAAAAAAAAAAAAA